GGTTTAAATAAAATAGCTTGGGGTGGCTGGCATGCCCTCCATTTGGGTGCAATGTGAAGCCAAGGTGGAGGACTTCAAGATGTTAAACACCAATCAGAGCTAGACACATTGGATGGGTGAAATTGGGTTTGAAATATAGCTTGGGGCTTTCGATTTTAGCTCCTCCATTGACTAAGTTGTCTGACCATGCTAGGGGAGGTGGCTAGGAGGTCAGGTGAGCTAGAGGAATCTGTCAAAAAAATCCATAACAACCATTAATTTGGGTTGGTGATGGGTTTTGGCAAAGATCTCTTCAACTTAAGCAATTTAAGAAACAAATCCCTTGACCTAGGGGATCTTTGTTCCATGGCTCATCTAGGGTAGATTAAGTGAGTCTAGCTTGGTCACTAGGGTCAAGAAATTTGCTGTAGAAGTCTTGCCTTGGTCAATTTGACATGGCTAGGTCAATTTTGGTGCATGGCTTCAATGTGGGTCTAATGGCCAAAAGTTGGTTTTAGAATAGGATAACCATGACTTTGAGCCCAATTTATTGATCAACATTGTGTAGATGACTGTAATGAAGATTTTTTGTGAAGGATTGAAATCATTTTGAGTCCAATTGGGGGTTCCATTTGAAGGATTTTAGAATTTTGATCAATTTGGTCATGTTGTGCTAAACTTGGGTCTAGGTTGGGCTAAGGTTGGGTTAAGTTCAAATTGATTGTTGATAATTTTCTATGGAAATGTCATGAAGAGTTTTAAACATAAATTGGGTGTCAATTTTGGGGTTAGGGCAATGAATTTGGTGGAATTTTGATGTATGGCCAATTGGGGAAAATTTTAGAAGTTTTGAACTTGGGTTAAAATTGAATGCAATTGAGGCTTCACCAAGGCCAATTGAAGGTCAATTTTGGTATGTAGGATTGTTATGAAGAGGTTAGGATTCAAATTGGGGGAAATTGAGTTGGCTATGGGGTTCAATTTGGTGGAACCAAGTCATAGGGCCATATTTGGGGTTTTGACTTAGATCAAAATTGGGCTCAAAGCATGGGCCAATTAAGCTTGGATTAGGTTTATATTGGTCATATGAAAGGTGAATTTGAGTTTAGAATTGAAATTAGGCTCAAATTGATGGATATTTGAGGTCAATTTGGGGAAGTTGAACCTTTAAAGGCAATTTGGGGGTTTTGGTCAAAATGGTCAAATTGGCAAAATTTAGTTCAATTGAAGGGTCCAAATTGGTTTTGGGGACATTTGGGGTGATTTTGGAGGTTGGTGATTTTGGAGGTTTGGGGTGATTTTGGAGGTTTTGGGAAAGTTTGGGGTGCCAAGGGTTTTTTTGTAATTTTGGCCTTTTTGGGGGTATTTTGGTAAATTTGGAATTTTGTGGTAGTTTAGGTAATTTGGGTATTTTGAAAGGGTTTAAAATTATTTTTGGACAAATATGTGTATTTTGGGGGGATTTGGGAATTTTTGCCAACTTTAGGGCTCCAAGGGTATTTAGGTAATTTTGGGGATTTTGGGGCAAAAGGCCATGTTGGATATTATTGGTTGAATTGTCGTGCCAACCACCCTATATGAGCCATGAACCGATGGAATCTCCATTTGGGTCCTCTATGTATTGGTCTTAGCTAAACCTTAGCCTAGGGCTAGTGGATTTAGGGGTCTACATGAGTCTCCCAAAAGATCAAGGGATCAAAGTCAACAAAGACTGGGTTTAGGGTTGTGAGGGATTGTGAGTGAGAGTGAGTGTAGTGAGTGAGAGTGAGTGCCCTAGCCCCAGACTAGCACCTAGGGTTAACCCTATGGTCAATTAGTTTTATAGGAACTCTCCTTGAGCTTCCCCATAATGACCCCACCTACTAAGTGCTAGAGGTTAGAACCAATATGTAGAGCTTCAAGTTAAGTAAAGAAGAGGGTAGAATTTCTAATAGAATTTCTAGTAGAATTTCTAATGTTGAGGGTTCCTTTTCAAGTTTTCTAAGAATAGTCAACAATAAAGTCCTAGGGCTAGACCCTAGGCTACTAAAGAGGAAAAACTAAACCTCAACCAAAAATGAGGTCAACAAACGGGCCCCAAAAGGTGTGGTGTGCTGGGCGAGCACACCGCACATATTGGCGTTGACCGATGAGATCAACAAAACTAATACAAACTCCTAAGTCAACAAACCTAGAAGGAAGTATAGAATTGGCTGTGTTATTTGATTCCATTGGGGAATTAGCAAGTGAATATCTGATAAAAATGGACGATTAGGAACTCTCGCTGGGTATTGGAGAGTGGATGTTAAGTTATCAGATTTTAGGTTTTTATAGAGGATGGGATGGAGGGGATCTTATACCGATCTCAAAAGGTTGAGAATAGAGAATTAGACATCATGGAGTGGTCTCACACCAATATCAAGGATGTAGGCAGAGAATTGGATGCCATGGAGGGGACCATACGCCAATCTTGAAGATGTAGGTAGAGAATTGGATGCCAGGGAGGGGGGCCTTACACCAATCTCAATAAGTTCAGAATAGAGAATTGGACGCCAAGGAGGGGGGTCTCACACCAATCTCGAGGATGTAGGTATAGAATTGGATGCCATGGAGGGGGGCCTTACACCAATCTCAGAAAGTTGAAAATAAAGAATTAGACGCTGTGGAGGGGGTCTCACACTAATCTCGAGATTGTAGGTAGAGAATTGGATTCCATGGAGGGGGCCTTACACCAATCTCAACAAGTTGAGAATAGAGAATTAGACACCATGGAGGGGATCTCACACCAATCTCGAGCATGTTGGTAGAGAATTGGATGCCATGGAGGGGGCCTTACACCAATCTCAAAGATTTGGGTAAAGAATTGGATGTCATGCATAAGGCCTTACACAAATCTCAAAAAGTTGAGAATAGAGAATTAGACGCCATGAAGGGGGGTCTCACACCAATCTCGAGGATGTAGGTAGAGAATTGGATGCCAAGGAGGGGGCCTTACACCAATCTCAAAAGTTAAGAATAGAGAATTTGACGCCGTGGTGGGGGTCTCACACCAATCTCAAGGATGTAGGTAGAGAATTGGATGCCATGGAGGGGGCCTTACACCAATCTCAAAAAGTTAAGAATAGAGAAATGGACGTCGTGGACGGGGTCTCACACCAATCTCGAGGATGTTGATAGAGAATTGGATTCCATGGAGGGGGCTTTACACCAATCTTGAAGAGTTGGTAGAGAATTGGATTCCATGGAGGGGGCCTTAAACCAATCTCAGAAAGTTGAGAATAGAGAATTGGACGTCGTGGATGGGGGTCTCACACCAATCTCGAGGATGTAGGTAGAGAATTGGATGCCATGGGGGGGGCTTACACCAATCTCAGAAAGTTGAGAATAGAGAATTGGACGTCGTGGAGGGGGTCTCACACCAATCTCAAGGATGTAGGTAGAGAATTGGATGTCATGGAAGGGGCCTTACACCAATCTCAAAATGTTGAGAATAGAGAATTGGACACCGTGGAGGGGGTCTCACACCAATCTCAAGGATGTAGGTAGAGAATTGGATGTCATGGAAGGGGCCTTACACCAATCTCAAAATGTTGAGAATAGAGAATTGGACACCGTGGAGGGGGTCTCACACCAATCTCAAGGATGTTGGTAGATAATTGGATGCCATGGAGGGGGCCTTACACCAATCTCGAAGAATTGGGTAGAGAATTGGATTCCATGGAGGGGGCTTTACACCAATCTAAAAAATGTTGAGAATAGAGAATTGGACACCGTGGAGGGGGGTCTCACACCAATCTCGAGAATGTAGGTAGGGAATTGGATGCCAAGGAGGGCGCCTTACACCAATCTCGAAGAGTTTGAAAATAGGATGTGATGTTCCATATAGGGGAGTCTTACTCCTATCTTGAAGATATTGGTAGAGAATTGTATGTCATGAAGAAGGTCTTATACAAATCTCAAAAGGTTGAGAATAGGATGTGATTTTCCACAAAGGAAAGTCTTACCCCTATCTGAAAGATATAGGTAGAGAATTGGATTCCATGGAGGGGGACTTATACCAATCTCAAAAGGCTGAGAATAGGATGTAATGTTCCACAATGGGGAGTCTTACTCCTATCTCGAAGATATAGGTAGAGAATTGGATTCCATGGAGGGGTCCTTACACTAATCTCAAAGATATAGGTAGAGAATTGGATGCCATGGAGGGGGTCTTATACCAATCTCAGAAGGTTGTGAAAAGGAAAATAATGTTTTGGTATTGGCCTCGATGGCAGGAATGTAGTGCAAAGAGTTTATGTTGTTGAATTCATAAATGTGTGTCATGCAAAAAGATTGACATTGGTGAGGAAGATGTGTAAAATTTTTAAGGTTTTATGCAGAATGTTGAATTTCGTAAGGATATGAAGAGAATTAGTGCAGGCAAGGATAGTCGTGCTGCACGAGCAAAGAGTAAGAGACCTTAAAATCAAGAGAATCAACTCAACATATTTATTTTCTTTTATTTTTGTTGTTATCACACTCTTGTTTTTTTTATCACATTTAATTATCAAAATACGTTTTTAAAATTTAATTTTAGTTGGTTAATGATTTTTTCAAAAGAGAGTTTTTTTTTATATTATTGAATTTTATTATCATCAAAATTTTTTTGGTTGTTTTGTTCTTTGTTCATTGTAGTATGAACCAAAGTATGGTTCTGTGGCTTTTATCTATCACAGAAAAAAGGAAATCAAACAAATAGAAAAAATCCTAAAAGAGATTTCATTAATCTGCTCTAATAAGTGTTACAGATTGAGTGAAGGCCAAAGCTTCAAAAAGTACAATTATGTTAACTGGATCAAAGTATATCCAAAAATATCCTATACTGAGTACATATCATAAGCTGAGCATGTCTACAATATATCATATATTTTGTGACCAGATGCAGTGAAAAGCAATTCTTTGAGTGTCTGTCTCTGGTGGGGCAAGCTCCTGATCGAGTCAACCTACTAAGTCATGCTCCAGGACAAGAGTTCCCTTTGCATGTGCTTAGAGGTGCAACCCACTCATAGCTCATAAGGCGGTAACTCTTCCAACTCTGGGTTTGGTTGGAATCCATATGGAATTTTGTTATCATCGATCCTCTTGAAGGTTACAGACACCTTATGGTGTCGCACCCCTGGAATGCAATGTTTAACGACGTTTGCTCCGTTTCCTTTAAGAACCAGCACTAAACCCAGTGGTAGCGAAATCTCCATGGCTCCTCTGAACTCACCCAGGCCAATGATATTAATTTCTTTTTCAAACAACATGTTGCTCTTGATCATGAAAGAGACTGTGCAGAAAGGTCTCATAAAATCATGATGATCAATGTGCGGGGGTATGCAGTCGCCTTCATCATATATGTTGATAATGCAGCTGTTGGGAATACAGTCAGCTGGCAGTATGCTCCATCGGACCATTCTCTTAATCATTCAATTTATCATGGAGGTAGCAGATCCACCTGATCATATCTCAGAATCCCAGGAGGATTTTCTTGTCTATAGTGAAGCTATAACAGCAGCCACATTGTATTGTGACCTTGCCCTTTCCACGCATCCATTTTTTTGGCTTGGAATAGGTTCTTTCCATCAGGAGGCCTGCTTGATCTCTGTCTCTCAGATCAAAGATGCAGTTAATAATATTTTTTTTTTATCACTTTCAAAGAAGAACGTGGTATATAACTCCAAGCCTTCTAGTATATTAATGAACCTTCCTTGAACTTCTCATAGAATTCAAAATCCCTTGTATTTACTTTACTCATTTTATAGGATTCCATCGTACTGATGATCGGCAGTTGTTGAGGATTTTCCCTTATTTCCACATCGACGGGAATTCAGGCTGGTGTTGTCTCTGCCTGCAGTGGAATGTATGACTCTGCGTCCGACAGGATATATGGCTTTGTATCCAATTGTATCCAACGGGACATATGGTTACATATGGTTCTGCACTCATTGGGTAATTTGTGGTCTGAAATCCATCATCAGAGGACACATACTCCTCTAAAGTACTGTAGTGCTCCAAGTGGAGGACATTGCAGTCTGGGCACTCCACAAATGCTCTTGTAGCTGATGTACGTGCAGGTATCTTGGCGTTGCATGTCGGGCAACTCATACAAATAACATCTGAAACTGGTGGTATCTCTAGCTCTGTAACAAATCCAGATTCATCATCTATAGCAAGCAAACTAGAAGAGGTCTCTCTCATGCCTGGATGATATATGTTCCCCTCAGAAATAGGGGTGAGCAAATTTTCCGCCTCCTTCTGGCGTCTTCTCTCTTCGTGTAAGAAAGCCCTATGCTTTCAACGATTAACATTCCTGCGCAGAGTTCTCCATAGCGGTGCATCTGGCAGTCTTTTATCATTGGCAGTGACTAGGCCCCCAATTGGTGCAGCTATTATAGACGGTAGGCGACTAGTCCCCTCCATCGGGTCTTGTTGTACTATCACATTTTTCCCCTTCAGTGAGGAACTGTTTCTGGTGTCAAACCTTAGTAGTGAAGGTAGCCCTTCTTTTTCTTGACGGCTAACCACGTTCATTAGAGGACCCTCATAGTCCATGTCCACTTGACTGAAGACCATGTCAAAGTCTGTGGTGCCGCCCTGCAGTCCCCCTTCCTCGTTGAGTGCAAGGTTTCAGCCTAATTTAAAAGCAAAGATCAGCCTCTGGCCTGACATTTTTCTGTAGACAACAGGAAAAATATCAGTAAGCTAAAACTTAGCATGAACAATATCAAAACAAAGTGTTCATTAAAAAAAATTTAGTTTATGTTGGTGAGAAAATTATTTATTTATGTATTTATTTAGTTCAATTTAGTAGAATATCAAATATAAAAGTACAAAGGAGTAAATTGAAATGTGTAATTTAAAAAAAAAATTTATTAAATTGAGGTTATTTTTATTACAAAATTTTTGTACTCGGCCACAGACATTTGGCCAAATAGATAACTCCAGAACAATCAAAATTTCAAAATTTTAAATCAAGCGATGTCAAGCAATGTCAGGTTGCGTAGTATGCCTTCAAGTATCGTCCGTTGATTGGCAGCTTGGGTCTCTCACCACAAAAATCTACTAGCTAGTAGGCTCCTCCTGCGTAGACCTTTTCTACAATAAATGGTCCCTCCCAAGTTGGCTCGAATTTTTCACCTATCCTGCGGTGTGCAAGAATGGGTCTTTTGAGCACGAGGACAAGGTCACCAACTTTGAATGTCTTTGGGAGGACCAATTTTTCAAGATCTTGTACCATCTTCACTTGGTAAAGCTCCAAATGTTGTTGTGCTTCTAGTCGTTTTCCCTCAAAGCTCTCTAGTTCTTCAGGTCTGACTCTTACACTTTCTTCTGTTGTAAGCTGGTTAGCGACAACGACTCTGAGAGATAGCGTCTGAACTTCTAACGGTAGTACGGCTTCAGACCCATACACAAGCATATAGGGTATGCATTGAGTGGGAGTCCTGAACGTCGTCTGGTAGGCCCCAATCTCTTTTGTTTTCATCCAGTGTTTTCTTTAAAATTTGTACCAACGTCTTATGGAATGCCTCAACCAGGCCATTTGCCCTAGGATAGTTAATTGTAGAATATCTCCAATCTATCCCGTGTCGTTTGACAAAATTGTTGATTCTGGTACTTTTAAAGGTTGTCTCATTATTAGAAATTATTCTTCGCGGTACTCCGAGACGGTAGGTAATTTAGCTTTTGAAGAATTGAAGGATGTGTTGTATCGTAACCTCTCATAACGGTACTCCCTCTGTCCATTTAAAGAAGTAATCTGTAGCGGTGAGTATGAATTTGTGTCCTCTGGAAGACAGGGGGTCTATTGAACCAATTATGTCTGTACCCCAACACTCAAACGGCCACGAGGCGATGGTTGGGTGTAGCAAATTTGGAGGTTGGTGCAAGACCACCTCATGCACTTGACACTAGTGACATCTTCAGGCTGTATCCATGCAGTTGGACATTATTGTTGTCCAATAATATCCGAGTCTCTTGATCTTCATTTTCATCTTTGGCCCTGACTAGTGAGCGCCACACAATCTGACATGTATTTCTCTAACAATATTTTGTTCTTCTATTTTGCTTAAACATTGTAGCCACATCTGGTGGAATGATCTTCTGTAGAGGACGTCACCCACTAGAGCGTAAGACATAGCCCGTTTTGTAATGTGATGTGCTTCAGACTTATCCTCTGGTAACTTTCCAGTTTCCAAATACTCTATCAATGTCTTATGCCAATCTTCATTGATTTATGCAACCGTAATCATCATTTCTTTTTCTTTTCCAAGCTCATGTAGATTGTCGAGGTCGATTTGAGACAAAACTTGTCTTCCTTGTACTGTGGTATTAATGGAATCCTCCGGGGGACATACCAATTCTTTTGCATTTTTTGCCAAATCGTCAGCATGGGCATTATCTCCTTGAGGAATCTGGCAGAAAGTCACGTTAGGGATCTGTTCCAGCAACTTAATGGTGTACTGGTGGTATTCTGCTAGTCTTGGCTTTAAAATCTTTTATTGTCCGGGGACCTGTTGGATGATGAGCTGAGATTCACCATAGATAGAAATATCTTATCAGGGTTGATCTCGATTCCCCAATGACAGACAATGAATCCTAGAAACTTCCCAGAGGTAATGCCAAAGGCACACTTTAAGGGATTCATTTTAAGGGCATTTCGTCGTAACCATTCAAACACGATCCTCAAATCGTACAAATGATCTATTTTTAGCTTTCTCTTGATGACCAAATCATCCACATAGCATTCCACTTGATTGTGAATGAGATCATTAAAAATCTTCATTATTGCATGTTGATATGTCGCTCCAGCATTCTTCAACCCAAATGGCATCACTGTATAGCAAAAAATCCCGATAGGTGTTCTGAATGCTGTAAGTGCTGCATCCTTGGGAGCCATCTTGATTTGGTTGTACCCCGACGATCCGTCCATGAGGAGAAAATCTCATGTGTTGAAGAGATGTCCACCATCATTTCTGGTATCGGTAATGGGAATTCGTCTTTTGGACATGCTTTATTTAAATCTCTGAAGTTCACACAAACACGGATTTGTTCATTTTTCTTCTTAACTAGCACAATGTTAGCTAACCAAGTGGGGTATTGCTCTTCTTTTACAAAGTTAGCATCTATTAACTTCATCACTTCCGCTATGAGCTGCTATTTCAATTTGAGGTGCATTCTTCTAGGAGCTTGTTTTACTGGGGTCATATCTTTGTCCACCACAAGTTTATGAACTGCAACCTCTGGTGATAGTCTTGGCGTTTCATCATAACTCCATGTGAAGAAATCTTTAAACTCTTTCAACAGTTTGATCAATTATAAAGATTCTTCATCGTTGAGTAGGAACTTATAAATGTATCTCAGGGTCGTTCTTCAGTCCCGAGGTTAATTTCCTTTAATTCATCAATAGTTGATATAATTTCCTCCTCAAATTCTGGAGGAGCATCTTCTATCAGCTGATCAGTAGAGTCATCCTCCATATCAAGGAATTCCTCCTATGATTCACAAGTAACAATCATGCAAAAGTCTGAATCATCGACTCGTCTCACTGTACCAAATCAAAGACCCTCTTTCGAGTTGGGAGTTTGACTTTTAATATCCCATAATTTTTCAAAATTTTGTAATTTATCTTTTGGCATTTGTTTTGGCAAATGTCTCTGTTGAATTAACTTTTGTGCTCAAGAGGAAAAATAAGCAAAAGGCAATTTCATTAATTCATTAGGATCATCATCCAAATTAACATGATTTTCAATATTAGTAGAGGTAGAAGCACAATAAAACTTGATCGGCTTTGAACCAGCACTACGGACTTCCTTGACCTCTAAACTCTCGACCTTTTGAGAGAGAATCGAGTAAGGGTCATGGTGTTCACATAGTGGTTTATCCGATCATACATCGTCTCATGTTTGTTTTGCTCTGTATCTTTTAAGGATATCTCGTACTTATGTTTCTTCTATTTTATCATCATTATTTCATCTTCAAAACTATCTTCATTACCAATGTTGATGGTTAGCCTAGTCCATTCAATAATTAAATTGGTTCTTCCTCGTCCACGTCCCCGGCCTCGACCTCGGGTGCACGGACTAAAAGAACCCCCACCAATTTGTTGCAAAAGAGTGGCAAAAGATTGCTGAAGCGGAGTTGAATGGCTTCCTCTTTATGAGTCTTCTGTATCTTCACTTTTGTTTGTCAGAGTTTCACGAGAGAAGACAGTTTTCTTTGGAAGCACGTAATAGGCAACATCTTCATGAATACCAACTTCATGCACTGAAAATGGTTGTAGATCTCCCTTAATGCAATGTTCTTGTTCTTCTTTATAATACTTGATGCACTGATGTAGAGATGATGGAACCATGTTGTGTTCGTGAATCCATGGTCGGCCAAGTAGAGCATTGAAAGAGGTCTCGGCGTCGGCGTC